CTTCCTATTGTACCTACTTCTTCTGTCCCCAAATATAGTTTTCATTTTCTCATTAGGGCTGAGGAGCCTCCAGGCTGTTTTCCACAGTGCTGCACCAATTCACATTCCCACCTAACAGTGCACGAGGGTTCCCTTTTTCCACATCCTCGATAACACTTGTTATTTCTTGTCTTTTTGATAATAGTCATTCTGACAGGTATGATGTGATATCTCTTTGTAGTTTTGATTTGTACTCCCCTGGTGGTTAGTGATGTTGAGAGCATCTTTTTCATGTGTCTTTGGAAAAATGCTTAATAGATCCTCTGCCAATTTTTAAATCGGATTATGTGGGGGTTTTTTGGTGTTGAGTTATACAAGTTCTTTATATATTTTGGATATTAACCCCTTATCCAGTATATCATTTACAAATATCTTCTCCCAGTCAGTAGGTTGCTGTTTTATTTTGTTGATGGTTTCCTTTGTTGTGCAAAAGCGTTTTAGTTTGATGTAGTCCCAGTGATTTACTTTTACCTTTTTTTGGTCCATTCCTGAGATCATATGACCCAGTAATTCTACTTCTATTTACCTGAAGAAAACAAAGCCACTGATTTGAAGAGATATATGCACCCCTATGTTCATTGCAGCATTATTTATAATAGCCAAGATATGGAAGCAGCCCCAATGTCCATCGATAGGTGACTGGATAAAGAAGATGTGGTACACACACACACACATACACACACACAATGGGATATTACTCAGCCATGAGAAAGAAAGAAATCTTGCTGTTCACAACAACATGGGTGGACCTAGAGGGTGTCATGCTAAGTGAAATAAGTCAGACAGAAAAGACAAATATCATATGATTTCACTTACATGTAGAATCTAAAAAACAAAACAAATGAAAAAACAAAAACAGAAACAGACTCATAAATACAGAGAACAAACTAGTAGTTGCCAGAAGGGAGAGAGATGGGGGCATAGGCAAAATAGGGGAAGGGGATTAAGAGGTACAAACTTTCAGTTATAAAATAATTAATTCACAGGGATGAACAGTACAGCATAGGGAGTATAGTCAATAAAATTGTAATAACCTGTATGGTGACGGATGGTAACTACACTTATTGTGGTGAATATTACATAATGTATGTGATTGTTGAATCACTGTGTTGTATACCTGAAATGAATATAATATTTTACGTCAACTATAATTCAGTTTAAAAAATATTTTAAAAAATAGAAGGTTGACACCTGGAGGGGAGAGTGGTCTAGCCAAGACGAAAGCAAAGAAACTTCAGGAAGAGCAGGCCTGGTGTGTCTCAGAAGCAGGAGGAGGGTAGTGTGGCTGGGTGACACAAGCAAGGCCATGCTGGACAGGAATGAGAGGCAACAGGAGGCCAGATCATGGAGGGTGTTATAGGCTAGTGTGAGAAATTTAGCTATAACTGTCAAGGAAATGGGGAGCCATTGTGGGATTTGGAGACAAGGAGCAACATGATCCAACTTGGGTTTTACCTTAATTACTCTGGCTGCTATGCTGAGAAGAGACTATAGGGAGTTTAGGGTAGAAGCAGTAAGTAGTCAGCAGGCTGTTGGGATCATCCACATGAATCATGGTAGCTTAGACCATGGTAAGAACAGAGGGTGGGAAAAGCAGTAAGATTCTGTGTGTGTGTGTGTGTGTGTGTGTGTGTGTGTGTGAGAGAGAGAGAGAGAGAGAGAGACAGAGTTTTAACATGGTGAAATATACATAACGTAAAGTTTACCATTTTAACTGTAAGTGTATAGTCCAGTGGCATTAAGTACATTTGAATTACCATACAACCATCCTCACTATCCATCTCCAGACCATTTTCATCATCCCAAACTGAAACTCTTGGATACATTTTTAAAGCAGAATCGGCATGCTTTCTGACAGTTTGGACTGGGGTGTGAGAGAAAGAGAAGAGTCAAAGACAACTCCAAGATCATTGACCTGAGCCACTGGAAAAATGGAATTGCTATTGACAAAATGGAGAGGATGGGTAGAGCAAGTCTGGGTAGAAAGGAAGAGAAGGAGTTCAGATTTCTTCATGTGAATTGGAGGTGTCCACTAGACACCCAAGTGGAGAATTTGAGACTGCATTTGGGTATGCAAGTCTGGAATGCGCTGGAACTGGGTAGAAGTATACGTTTGGATGTCATTGGCAGATAGATTGTTTTTAAGACACAGAAAGGAATGAGATAATCAAAGGAGTGAATGAGACAGAGAAGAGATCAAAAGCTTTGGAGCCGGCTATCATTAGCCCCAGCCTGAGAGGGTAGGGAGGAAGAGAAATGGCAAAAGAGACCAAGAAGAAAGAAAACCAAGAGAAGAGTGTTGAATGCTGCTGAGAGGTCAGGTAAGATAAGGACATGGGATTAAGCATGGGATAGAGTGGTGCATAGGTCATTGGTGACCCTAACAAGAGCAGTTTGGGGGGAAGTGGTAGGGACAGAAGCTTGACTGGAATGGGTTAAGAGAAAAAGAGAGAAGAATTGGAAGCAGCAAGTAAAGATGACTCATTTCTAGATTTTACTCTAAAAGGGGAGCAAAGCTGATCAAGGAAATAATATCAAGAGTAGCTTCTTTTATTTTTAATGAGGGAAGTAACAGCATATTTGTATGCTAATGGCAATGATCCAGTGGAGAGGGGAATGGTGATACAAGAGAGGGAAGGAGTATTTTTAAAATTTTGAATTTGAATACCTCTACCTGAGGCCACAGCATTTTTGCCACATTCTAAACCATACTCTGACCCACTTCACTCATTTGTGTAACCTACATTTGACTTTGCATCTCTTGGCCTGGATAGACACAGATCTATACGGGACTCTAAAACAACATTGGAGCCAATTGGCAAGAATGTAAATTAGACCCAGTCCTGCTAAAGCAGACAGAGCCCCTAAGTGCTAAGGTACCCTCATTCTCAGGAGTGTTTTGGCCACTTGTTCATGCAGATACTACCAGAAAATTGACAAAAGCAGCTGAAATCCCCAAACCTAATAATACACAGTACAATGTAGATTTGGGGGGGCTCAGTAATTTATTTTATTTTAGTGTCTAGAAATCTACTTAACTCTCACTTCCCTGGTCCTTTTGGACCTAGGGATGGTGACAGTTCTACTGTTGGACCCAGTTTCCCTTACCCCCTTATCCACACCTTTGTAATTAGTCCCTTTGTGTATGAACCCTTTTAAAATTATTCTAATCTAAATATGTCATGTTTCCTATTGGAACCCTGACTGATACAGTTATTGGTATCAGAAGTGGCTCCAGGAAACAGAGTCAAAATTGGACCTGAGTTTTATTTGGTCATATAATTAGAGCTCCAAGGAAGCCTTACTGCTGGGGGAAATAACTCAATTATCAATTACTCAAATTATCATTGGTGGCAGCCTGGAATGAAGGGCAAAATGCTAGCTATAAGGAGCTCCTGTAAAGTCGCAGGATGAAAATCATAGCACAATCCCCCAGGAATTAGGAGTAATGCCTTGACACTGTGCTGATAATTATTTTTAATTTGAAAAGTGCCTGCTGGCTTGCTACTGGTGAAGACTGAATGGTCAACCATGGATCATGAAATATTTATGTGATTCAAACACCTGTCTTAAGCTGAGTGTTATCTGATTCAATGAACCGTAAAATTAGGCATGAATAGCAGTAATCCATCATAATATGGAAGCAGTATATTTGAAAGTAGGCCCCAGAAGATCCAGAAGGCTCCAGATAGCTTCACGAGCAGGTGACTTATATTCACATAATACCTGTTCTTTCTGCTTCTCCTTCAACTCACATGAGAGGCCTTCAGAAGGGACTCTGGTGACAGAAGGCATCTATGATCACCACCTTAGAACTCAGGACAGGTGTAGATGTGGGGATTGTAGCCGCTGTGTTTTATGTTACTCTTCTTTTCTCCTTTCTTTCCCTACCTACTTGAAGTGTCCTGATGGTTAATTCACTAAGTTTCAGGTGGAAGTATGACCACACTGACATCACCTGGTGGTAACATGATGGCTGATGAAAACTCTGTTGCATCCCCTGTTCTGAGGGCACAGAGTGGATGCTGAGGGGTAGACTGTAGTGGGTGTCTTCTGTTTGTAGCCCTCTTCTATTTTCATGGGACTTTAGAGATGATGTCTAATTTAATCTTCTCAACAACCCTATAGTAATAATAGGTCTTCTGGATTACCCTCGTCCTATATATCTGGCATTGTTCTGGGTGCTTTCCGGGAATCCATTCAATTAATCCTCCCAGTAGCCTTACATGCCAAGTATCCAATTATTCCCATTTTACAGATGAGGAAACTTAAGTATAGAACAGTCCAGTAACTTCCCCAAACCCACGAAGTTAGAGATTAACTGCTGCCTCGTAAGGCTTCTCAAAGGGGTTAGGTATGATTATCCTGTTTTTTGCAGATAGGAAAACAAAGACTTAGAGAAGTATAGGGACTCATCCCAGATATAGTCACCTGCACAGTGAGGATTCAAACCCAGGTCTGTCTAACCTCAGAACTCATATCTGACATGCTCTCTGCTTCCCTAATGCTTCATTGTCAAGTGTCATGATGAGAAAGAGCTGACTGGGAAACCCAGGTTCTACGAACATAAAATATTAAGTAGTAAAATATTAAAATATTAAAAATATTTTTAAAAGAAATGTGATGGACCTAATTCAAAATCCCTGCTAACAGATTTCCTAGGAGAACGTTGCTTTTGGAATCATGTACATTGTGTTTGTACATTTATTAGCTGACATTAGCCCTGATCAAGGTGAAGTAGAATAGAGTGGTCATTTGTCATTCACAGACTGAGGAAATGCATAAACCAGACCTGGGGAGAAGAGCCTGAGAAGGGAAACCACACTGGCCAGGGTGCCAGTAACTTCTTTGTGCTTTCAAGACAGTTTCACAAATTTGTCTGCCACAAATAAAGGAGGGCAGAATCAAGACCTAGCATACGCTTTATCATTCCTATCGCGCCTTGGGAATTTCCCTTGGGAATTTCCTCCTTTGGACTAGCACCACCGGTGTCATCTAGCCAATGTCATAGACTTACGGCTCTCTCCAATGATCTGCTTTTCAGATAACAGCATCCAGTCGATTTTCTGTTGTTGTTGCTGCTGTTCCATGCAGAAGAGGTAAGTCTACTACTGTGGGCAACTTCTTGGAAAGTCATTCATTCAGTTACTTTATTGTCTATTGTGTCTCCGTGGCTCCTTGATTCTGCCCTTCCCTTTGCCGGGGAAACCCTTCTCCCATTTCCTCCCTGCTGCGTGTCCACTGATCTAAAGGTCTTCCTTCAGAAATTTCAGGTCTTCCACCATCTGTCCTGGATCCCTTTGGCATGAATTGCTCCTTCCATTACGTTCCCACAGCATGTGGCTTGGGTCTGTATTTAATATTTATTTTGTGTATGCTGTTTACTTCTCTGTGTTCTCTCAATAATTTTTGCCCTTTAAGGGCAAGAATCCTGTCTTATTTATTAGAATATCTCCTCCCCCCCCCCAATGATCAGGGTCTCTTGCACTTTGATGCCCAGCAAAAGATTGTATAGAATGAATGCAAGGTACCACGATAATAGGAACAGTTAGCATTTAATGGCAGTGTTCTCTGTGTAAGACTGTGCTAAAAGATTTGCATTTATTAGCTCAAGTAACTCTCAAAAACACCTATGGTTTTTATAATCTCCATCTTACAGATGAGGGAATTGAGGCTTAGAGAGGTTCTATTGCTTCCCCAAGGCCACACTGTGAAATGGTGGAGTTGGGATTCAAACTCATGTTCTTAATCACTATACCATGTCTACCTATAACAATGGATTCTGTCAAACGAGGTATGCATGTAAAATGATAAACACTGTGCCTGACGCAGAGTGAGTTTTTCATTATCATGATCATTATTTTATCACCTGAATATGCACCAGGTTTGGCTTGGGCATGGGACATATGTTTCTTCAGTTTTATTCCATAACAACTCCATTTGCTCTTAGCATCTCTAGCTCCTCCATAAGGAAAATGCAGTTCTGGGAGGTAGTAACTTGCCCGTGGAAAGTCTTCTAGGTAAGAAAGAAGTCAGAAAGAGACCTGGAGCTTCCTACTAGTTTTGCGAATATCTGGTGAATGCTTGGATAACCTGAATTCAGATCACAATTGGTAACATGGTTGTTTTTCAATCTCAGACAAGTCAGAGCACAAATAAGCCTGAGCAAAGATGAAGAATTTTCAGAAAAATACACCCAGCGTCGCAGGCTGTGGTTCAGGGAATTGCCAAGCAAGAAGCAAGTGAGTATGATCTTGATGAGGGAGAAGTAACAGAGGAAGCTTGCGTTTTTAGGGTCTACGCTCCTCGAGGTACTGTTTGCTGCCATGCCCAGAATCTAGTGTCCTGCTCGGCATGTAACAAGTGCTTAATAAACGTTTAGTGAATGAATGCCTTAGAAGAGAGAGAGAGAAAAAAAAAAAAAAAAAAGACCAGTTAAAATAGCCTACTCTGCTATGTTTTGGCAGAACTTGAAACCAGACAGTGAATGGGGAAAAATGTATTCTGGCTACTGCCATTTTGAACCCAGGAGTAATTTTCAGTTCAGTGTTGGAGGAAACAGTGTTCTTAAGAAGTGTGATAAACCCAAACACAGTTTATAGCGTGTGAAAGGGAAGGGCTGTTTATCTTTTTTCAAGAGAGAAAAACCCATAAAACAAAGTGAAACTATTGGGGTGGAAATCAAATTTCAAGAATTGTGGCTTAGGGCACCTGCGTGGCTCAGTCGTTAAGCGTCTGCCTTCGGCTCAGGTCATGATCTCAGGGTCCTGGGATCGAGCCCCGCATCGGGCTCTCTGCTCAGCGGGAAGCCTGCTTCTCCCTCTCCCACTCCCCCTGCTTGTGTTCCTGCTCTCGCTATATCTCTCTCTGTCAAATAAATAAATAAAATCTTTAAAAAAAAAAAAAAAGAATTGTGGCTTAAAAAACATCCAGGGGCACCTGGCTGGCTCAGTCCATGGAGCATGCGACTCTTGATCTCAGGGTCATGAGTTCGAGCCCTGTGTTGAGCACAGAGCTATTGTAAAAAAGAAAAGAGAAACATCCAGTGCGATGCTGGCAAGAGAATTTGTGATCTTGACAACTTACAAAATGATGAATGGGTTGCTGAATTCAAAAGTTGTTTTATGGTCATTTCCTATGTTTATCCCACTCTGGTTTTTGCTTTGGTGCAGCCAGACGGGCGAACTGGGGCAGCGGGGAAATGTACTCTACCCCTATTCTTTTTTTAGTGCAGATTACTAAAACAATAGTACAACAAATCATTCCTTGGTTTTTACAGTCCAACAGAGACCACATGCAACCATCAAAACGCAAGCCACTGCCTCCCCTCCCACCCTCTGAGGTTACTGAAGAGAGGATCCAAGTAAAGGCGCTGTATGATTTTCTGCCCAGAGAGCCGTGTGATTTAGCATTAAAGAGATCAGAGGAGTACCTGATATTGGAGAAATATAACCCTCACTGGTGGAAGGCAAGAGACCGTTTGGGGTAAGACTGGTGCCACGGTCCTCATCAAATTCCTCTTCGTTTATCCTCTGAAGACTTCTGAAGCGTAAAATCTGTTTTGTGGCTCATTTCCTCTGGGTTTAGAATTCTTCCTTCTGCATGGAGCAGAACCTGTCCCCACATGTCCTATCTGTATGAGAGAGCGTTACAGCACTGCACCTTCAGGCAGTCACAGAACTGCATGTACCTGGCTTCACATCCCGATGCTGTCACTTACTATTGTGTGTCCTTTGGTAGGTCACTTACCCTGAGTTTCCCTCCCTCCCTCCCTTCCTTCCCTCCTTCCTCCCTCCCTCCTTCCCTCCCTCCTTCCTTCCCTCCCTCCTTCCTTCCCTCCTTCCTCCCTCCCTCCCTCCTTCCTTCCTTCCCTCCCTCCTTCCTTCCCTCCCTCCTTCCTTCCTTCCCTCCCTCCCTCCTTCCTTCCCTCCCTCCCTCCCTCCTTCCTTCCCTCCTTCCCTCCCTCCTTCCTTCCCTCCCTCCTTCCTTCCCTCCTTCCTCCCCTCCTTCCTTCCTTCCTCCCTCCTTCCTTCCTTCCTTCCTCCCCTCCTTCCTTCCTTCCTCCCTCCTTCCTTCCCTCCTTCCCTCCCTCCTTCCTTCCCTCCCTCCTTCCTTCCCTCCCTCCCTCCCTCCTTCCTTCCTTCCTTCCTTCCTCCCTCCTTCGGAATTGAGGCTTAGAGAGGTTCTATTGCTTCCCCAAGGCCACACTGTGAAATGGTGGAGTTGGGATTCAAACTCATGTTCTTAATCACTATACC